TTATACAAATGCTTGATAGCGACTACTAAGATGAGCTGTCTGTATATTCGATTAACCACACCCTTCTTGAATTATACCTGTTCCAAACTCTCCCATCTTAAATAATCACAAAAAGATCTAAATGTGAAAACATCTCATATACAGCTAAAATGTCGCACCTCTGTAGATCAAGTGAAGTGAATCTTCTTACTAGGTTTATGTAATTACATGAGCACAAACTGAGGAAACCAAATACACCTTTTAACATCTCTTGACATCTATGCATGCATCTCACACACACACACACACACACACACACACACACACACACACACACGTCACATCCCGACTCTGCATCCAACCACACAAACACACTCTCACATTCACATCTCATGCACCATGGCACCACACACACGCACACACATACACGCCGTCACTCACTCTCATTTTTCCTGTATGTGTGTGTGTGTGATGGCTCCATTAACTGCAGGGCTATTACTGTGAGGGTATTAATCACTGTGGAAGTGCAGCTCTTGGCGCACACTCATTAGTTTTAATGTTGTACATGTGTGTGTAAGCACAAACACAGTCTTGCTCACAGCTTTATATCTTTGTCCATTCTGTTACACTTGTTACTGTGTGTGGGTGTGGGAGGCCCACCATAGATATCTACGTGCTGCTGCTGTAAACTATGCTTTATAAAACTGAGAGTTCCTATTCTAAAATCCGACTGGCTGACCCTCTATTGAAGTCGTTGTAAAATACTCACTATATTTGCACATTACTGCGCGCATTAACCAAATTATGTTTTAATGAGCCAAGAACCGTAGACCTCTGAAATCATGCAGTCACTCCAAAAATGCCACCAGGCCCATGTGGGAACGCTAGGTCTAAGTAACTTTTCTTTATAAGAAAAATGAATGACATAAAAAAGCATCCTGTGATAAACGAACATGTTCCAAACCCAGTGCTGTAGGGACATTTTTCCTTTAAAAGTTGCCAGATCCTCTGAATTATAAGGCCATTAAGAGCTGAAATATGACTATTGCTACATGCATGCTAACATTGCTGCTTACTGAATTGACATCGTAAAACTGGTACACCATGCAAACAAACAAGCTGTGTCAAGTGTCAAGAAAGGGAATGTACATAAGATAAAACATTATCAGGTTTGGAACCTTTTTTTTTTTTAAACCACAGGATGCGACAGTGGCCATTTTCAAAACACCATTCATTCAAAATCCTTGTGTTCCTAATATTGGCATGATGCCGACTACAGCATGATGCATGACTTCAGAGGTCTGTTGTGCTGTTCATGGAACAGTCTTTCACCATTATGTTGCTTGGCAACCGTAGGCTATTGTAAACTATATTGCTTGGCTGAAGAATTGTTTTTGTGATTTATTATTAATAGTAATGTATTGTAGGCATTTTATTAAAAAAATAAGCTAAATATTTTAGTAGCCATAAATGTATTAATATGAAACAGTCTGCCCTGTAACACCAGCAGTCATTCTTTAATGGTGCTACATGAGTGTGTGTGTGTTTCTTGCTTTCCAGCACTTTCTCTCAGGTGTGTGTGCGTGTGTCAGTAGCCCTGGGCCTGTGAGCTCACTTCCTGATAATTAAGAGCCTAACCCAGCTAGAGGTCATGACCCTAACATCATAAAGACGCCATGCCTTCTGTTCCAGTAACACATACCCACAGGCTGCGTTTAAAACACACAATATGAGCGGAGTCGAGGGGGAGGGGGAGTTAATTACACCTTACTATGCCGAGGGGCTTCATGCCAGTGCTACTACTGCATGGTGCAAACTGGACTGTTAGATGATGTGTGTCAATATTCTACTGCTTAATGACCTGGACTAGAGTAGAGACACACTTAATCCCTTGGGCTCTAATGGCCATTTTGACGTTTAAATGCTGGTTCAACCACATTCTGTTGTTGATGCATTCAGCTTTGGTGACTTTCATACTTAAAACAATCATTCCACAAAAAAGTCCATTCGTAAATTTGACAAGAGTTGAGAGATTTTGCATAATGAAGTATTGTACACTTATACTGTACTGTTCTACATACAAATAACTTTCTTATATGCTTTTTAATGTGTGATTGACCAAGTCAAAGCATTTAAAAAGTAATCATGATACAAAATGTGGTTGGCATGTCAGACTGTTCTGGTTCTAAAATCTGATTGGTTGCGCCAGTGTCATTGTACAGTACTTGATGTATTACCTCATATAACCAAATTAATTCTGCATTAATGTGCCATGTTATTAAAAACCCCTGGGCAAATGGAATAATCTTAGACCATTACGTGGCTTGGCAGCCATAGCTTATTGTTGGTGAACTACTTTGCTTGGCAGAAGAATTGTTTATAACAATTATTGTTAATAATAAATGAAACTTATTAATTGAACATTGGTATATTATCATATGTTGATGTTTTATCAAATCAATAAGCCACTTATACACGTTACAGGGATACTATGGATAAGGGAATTTAACTCCAATCCATGTTGTGCCCCTTAACCCCTTAACCACGGTAGAATCAATGTAACACAAGACCTCAAGTAGCTTACTGCTGTATTTGGCTCCTATAGTGCACACTGTACATGGGCACTGTCTATTGTTAACCATTCCTCCATATGCTTCCATCATCTGAAAGGCACTACTGCTATTGTCCTATGCACATAAGAAATGGATTACCCCTCTGTGAGGATAATCAAAGTGAGCTGTAAAAAAAATGCAAAGCTGCAACATTAAAGGAGCATCTCTCTGAGCCTGACAGATAACATGGTTCCTCCTGCAGCAGGAACGAGGGAGGCTTCCACATTAACATAGAGAGACAGAGACAGTCAGGGAGAGAGCTTCCCCAGGGAGACCCCTTTGTCTGCATGCTACCAATATGCAAAACCACCACACACACATACACGCGCACGCTGAGGCTCTGCTTTACACCTTCCCCCATCTCCTGACCCAACTCTCATACTCTCTCTTTTTATCGCTGCTAAAATAAGAAGCCTGTACCGAGCTGGTATTCTAGAACAATCAGGTGATGTTTTTGAGGACAACAGCCTGCGCCTCAATAATGTACTTTCCTATAATACCAGTATGCACATATTATTGGTTGCACATATTACAGATTTTAGATTTTTGTCACTCTGAAGATACGAAAACTTCATATGTATGTAATGGTTTAAAATAGGTGGAATATGTTAACTTATTTAATGTAACATTACAGGCAAGGATTTGGAACTTTACCTTTTAATGTCCCCCAGGCACTTAACATTACATTATATATATATATATATATTATATATATATATATATATATATATATATATATATATCATTATTATGATCCTCAACTTAATACTGTTTCTGTTAGGTATGACAACCTAACAGAAACAGGCAGACCTTGAACTGACTATACACCTTTGTAGCCACAGGAGTGCTTATGGACTTCACTGCTGTTAATCACTATATGGAGTCTATTGATGCATCAAGAGTGAGATATACTGGAGCTGTCAATGTGAATTCACTCAGTGGGGAATGTATTAATAGACCATTCAGGCTCTTACTGGGAGATATTGTGCTAGAAAGTGGTCAGGAAGAAAAACTACTTCTTTTCAGGACTCCTGCAAATATGCAGAAACAGCCCCCACCCCATACCCCCCATCAAACATGTTTTTGTTATAAACACTGGGGCACCTGGCCTTCAGTGGCAGTGAGGTCATTTCTTTTGTCCATACACATATGCAATGTAGAGGAGATTAGAGTATTGATTAGTTGAATTGTGCAGAGACCACAGACTGGTGGACACAGATGTGTGTGTGGTGGGGTGGTTTAATTTTATTCCCTTACTATAAGCATGTCTTTATTGTGATTTAGACTATAAGACTTGATGTTGATACACATCTAGCTTGGTGTTGACCAAACCGTGTGTGTGTTTTGTCTTGATTTGCTAGAACAAAATCATTATCATGACTTTGATCTTAATGATCTTGACTGCATTCCAACCAGGCACAACTAAAGAATGTCTTAATTGCAACGGATTAGTCAAAGCAGAGGTCACCCATCCTTAGGCCGAAGTAAGCATTTGCTGATGTAATAGAAAACATGTGCCTGAGGAAATAACACGACTTTCTGAGCAAACCAGTCAGCATTCTAGCCATGTTTTAGACACTTAACATTGCTTGTTTTAAAGGTATTTGTGTTTTTGAGAGGGGTGGGTGATGCCTCCAAGCCTTTTTTACCTAGTTATATCTACTGAGGGTAAACTGTTTCTAGATGGGGACAATTATTTTAAACTTTTTAAAACATTTTTTCTTGTTATACATGCCTTGTTTAATGTCTAATTCTGCACCATAATTTGAAATTGAAAAACAGACCTAATTTCAATAATATCCAGTGAGAAACTGTTGCAAATTATAGTAAAACTAAACCAAGAATGTGTCAGATTGTATCTCTTCACACACGAGCAGCAGAAACGAGTCTCGTCATTCTTGGTGCTATGCGGCAGCAAAGTGTGTATCAGCGATTTTTCCCCTCCCGCGATCAATAGACCCACGTGACCCTGAGCAGTGAGCCAAGCCCAAGCTGAGCACAGACTTGCTGCATATTTTATGATTCCACTGCATCAAAGCATCACTTCAGCCAATTAACCCACGCTGGACCACTAAAGGGAAGCGTTTATGACCAGTGTGATGTCGCATCACTGCTGGCAACTCTTTCTGAAGGGTTAATGCTGCGTACTCTAGCACACCTGATTGAAATCAGTTGAATTAGGTATGTTTGAGCAGTGAAAACTTATTTGTAGGGGTTCTCTAGGACTAGAGGTGAGATGCACTGGTGTTATTGCTAGTATATATTTTATGCTTGGACACATTAGATGATGGCACAGATTTAAGCAGAACATGGTACAGTTTAGCTTTTAGCTTAATTGCTAGGGATCAGAATTCTAGTACTCTGCAACCTGTAAACATTCACAAACTGCACAGCTATTGTTCCCCTTACCTGTTGGTTTCATGTAGTATGCCTCAATATCAGCCATATCTGTGTGGAGTGCGTAGTCCAGGTAGTTGAGGATGATTGTTCTGCTATAGTAATAGCGTGCTCCCATTAGAATGAGCGGCGTGCAGCATGTCAGCATGATGGACTTGGTCATAACAAAGCACATTACTATGGAGAAATGGAAGAAAAATAAACGTCACCTGTCAGAAAAGAGAACCAAAAAGTTTGATTTTTGGTAGAGGAAAGACCCACAAATAGACAGAACAGGCAATCATACATTTTAACACAAAGTAAAATGATATTATGGGCAATCCATATTAAACATTATACTTTATCCTTGTGAAAAGGATGAACAATGGGGCAATAATATTCAAGTGCTAATAGTGTGATATAAGTGGAATAGGGCTGTGAAGTTGTTTCAGGCAGAAGTCAAGATGGTAGTTTGAATTGGTGTTGGTTATTTGGAGATAGGGCCACACGGTGGCACTCCTGAGCACGCAGACAGAAAAGCTGCGCCACATGTGCTGTAATACCGCTTCTGTCCGCTGCACCAACATTGGCGCTGTGGAGCATCCACACTCAGTCCTACTGCCCACTCTACCGCCCCCCCCAACACAAACACACACATACACACATGTACACACACTTCAGGCAAAGTTGACCCGGGCTTTCTAGACTTGAAGTGACTTGTCTGTCATTTAAACCTCTACTATTCCCTTTAATTGGCTTTGCTTGGTGAATTTAGTCTCTAAACCAGGCATGTCAAAGTGCTGCGAAGATTAGAGTTTAACCTCATCTGACACTCTGAATTCAGTTCATTAAGGCCTTGCTAATTAGCTTAAGAGCTGAAATAGGTGTGTTTAATAAGGCAGTGTGCCGAAGTCTGCAGTGTTTTGGCCTGCGAGGATCGGAGCCTGACACATGTGGTCTAAACCTATGGGTTAGGGCACCAGTTAGGCTAAACCAGGGATGCCTAATTCTAGTCTGTAGTGTGTACCACCGTTCAGAGTTTAGCTCCAACCGAAATCTAACGCACCTGATCCAGGTAATGAAGGCCTTCAGTGGCATTAGAGCCAGGTGTGTTGGATCTAAACTCGTCAGGGCCAGTATTGGGCACTCCTGGCCTTAAATAATAGGGCACTGCTTAGCCTAAATAAACAGTCATTGTGAAGGTTGGAGCTAAACTTGGGTTTTAAAAACTTATCGAATGGGGTGCAGTTGGATTTATTTCAGGCAAAATACGCAGCATGCCAGAAACTTAGCCAAACACCTCGAGCATCAGAAAGAAAGAGTGGAACTCTGGCCTACGGTCTGGACTGAACCCGTTAACACCCCTTCATTTATTCATTTGTTCACTCGCTTACGCATTCATGCATGCATTCATTCATTCATTCACCAAGCCGGACTTCGCCAGCTGCGTGCACACAGCATGCTTCTGGACCACCAGCCGCTTTATGGGATGCAGATGTGCAGGCTGCGTCCGTTCCTCTGCACTGGGGAGGCGGATTTACGCAGTTTCTAAGGCGATCATGCACCGAGACAAAGGATTTTCAGTCGGTGATCAGTCACATAAATCACTTCTCAGGCTGGCTAGACCTAAAATCTCCTGTAATCATCAGAATCACTCGCGTAGCCTGTGAAGCAATACATGCGCCCGGCGACTCATCATTCTGCATGCACACTTAAGAGAGGGAGAGAAAAGCGTGGCCATGCTGCAGCGCGCACGCTCTGTGCGCGTCCTCTTACCTGTCAGCACTGCGTAGAGGAGCTGAGTGTGTGGCTGCTGTCTGAGCCCCCGGAAAGCAGTGTTTGGTATCCGCTCCATGATCCCCTCGTAGAAAATGCGCCGCACCTCCGCGTGGTCCCCGCGCTCGAACTCGCGGATGAAAACCTGATCGCGTCTCGCGCCTTTACCGGGACTGGGCGGCCACATGCGCGCGGGAGAGGCGGCGAGAGGCTCGCGCTCTGCCCCCGGTATGGACTCGTGTTCGTCTGCAACGATTTCAGTCTCGCAAACCATTTTTGGAGACGAACAATGCATGCAAACCGGCTAAATTTGGGGAAGAAAAACGGGGGGAAAAAACAAACGCGAAAAAATGAAAAACAACGGAATGAATGAATGAACTGATGGATTTTCGTCTGTTGTGTTGGTTATGGAAAGAAAAAAAAAGGATGTGGTGCTGCAACCCTGAGCTTAGTCACGACCGGGAGATGCCGGCGGACTTTCGGCAATATTTATACACCGCCGCGCACGCGCTGCTGAGGGCGGGGCTTACTGCTGTGCGCTGATTGGATAAGAGAGACCACCCCATGGCTGCTATAGGAGGAGAGAGATCAAAGGAGAAATATCCCTGGCAAAAAATGACGGGGATAGAGAGATATAGAGAAAGAGAGGAAGAGATGCGAAGAGAGAGGCGTTGAGAAAAAAGGCAGAGAGAGATAGAAAATGAGAAAGAGAGAGAGAGACAAGGGGATGTTCAGAGCTGGAGAGAGACAGCTCGTGTGAGGGGGCGGGGGGGGGGCGTGTCTGTTCACTCCAGAAATTTTGGAGTCTACTTGGATTCTGATTTTAAGAGAAGCGAGTCGATGGAGTCGATTCCACACAGTTTTCGATTCCGAAAATCTGGCAACAGAAAAAGTCAGAAAAAGTGCAAACGTTTACACTAATATAGCTATTATAATACACTGTTATGCTTAGATGATTGTTGGTATGAATGACATGGGATACGGGCGTGGTAACTGCTCCCACCTCAGCTGTTCTTCAGGCATCATTTGTAATTATAGGACCTATCTGACCTTACCAGGGCAGCTGGAGAGCTAACTAAACTGTATTCTCTGTTTTGGTGGGTGGATTAGCACCGGCGATTGTAAGCCTCTGTCTTTTTATATACAGCGTGTCCCAAAAAAATTGCTATCATTTCGTAGTCTAATAACACAGCAAATTCTCCCTCAAATGATCTCAAATTTTAACAAAATGTGTAAAAACTATAAATAACTATAATATAAAACTTTAATTTTTAACGTTTTTTTTCAGGTTGAAGAATGGCGTTCACTAGAAATGAAAAGGCATTTTGTGTCTTAGAGTCTGCTCGAACACAGTCAAACAAGAGTGTGCAGCGTGCATTTTCGAGAAAATTCAATAAAAATGCACCAACTGAAAAGCAGATTTGGACATGGCACAAAAAATTCAAAGAGGAAGGGTGTCTGTGCAGGGCAAAGGGATCTGGACGACCACCAGTATCGGAAGATATTACATTTATGAAGCTTTGTGAAATAAATAAAATCTACATCCCTCTGAATTTCTTGTTCGAATTTTGATAAATAAATGTTGTATTGTTCAACATGAAGCCTATTTAATTTCGTTTGCCTAGGACATTACTCTCAGATAGTTACTCAGATATTCACATCTCAAATGATGTAAATTTTTTTGGGACAACCTGTATGTATTTTATATATATATATATATATATATATATATATATATATATATATATATATATATATATTATACACAATGCGATATATAAACATCTCATATTGTACGTATCCAAACTTGAGCATCACTGTGTGGAATCAAGTGCAGAAGCTTCGGAGTCAAACACCTGGAATCGGAGAGTCGGCTCTGTGTGGGATCGACTCTCAGCCCTAAGTCTGTGTGTGCGCGCGTGTTTGTGTGTGTGTGCAGGTTTTGGTGGTGAAATGGGGCTGGGTTGGGGTGCATCTTGCCACCCTGGAGTCTGCTGTTCTCTCTGTGTGTGTGTGTGTGTGTAAGGGGTTTTTGCTGCACTGCAGTGCTCCTGATGAGGGTTTTTTGTTCCCTAGCCCTCCCTCTTCTCGTCTTGGGCTTCCCGCCTTCTCTCATGTCTGTTTCAGACTGTGTGTGTGTGTGTGTGTGTGTGTGTGTGTGTGCACCACACGGTGCTCACGACCCTTCATCAACCAAAAACCAGACAACTTACTCACCCGCGCACTCACTGGCTGCGTCGAAAACCACGTTCTGTGCGTACTCCACTAACGAATATACCACTTAGTCCGCTAGTATGCGGTTTTGGACGCAGCCAGTCACCACAGCCACCGACCGCAAACAGCTAATGGGCCAGACAAATCGCCTGTGTATTTCCAATGATTAACAGACGTTATTAAAAAGTGCGAATGACATTAACACCCCGCCCCCCGCCGCCGCCCAGATCCAGTCCATGGCGAACTCCTGCATGCTAAACACCGCTGAGCCTCCTCCATCTGAATAAGGTCGCATTCCGATCGCTTTGTACTGAACTAGTTTGAACTGGATCTCTCCCTCCTCCCCCTCCCCCTCCTCAAGACACCGACAAAAAAAAACACAGACACTCAGCTCGAGTCTCGGGGTCTCCGCCATGCAGCATCCACACCCCCCTCCTCAGAGCACCGTGTCAAATCGACAGAGTTCTCTCTCATGATTGATTATTAATAATATTTCAGCGCTGCTGCTCACTGAGCTCTTTTCTCAGCATCAGCACCTGCAGCTAGCAGACTGGTGGGCGTTAATGCGCATGCGCGGAGCTCTCCTCTAGCAGAGACGATGTGAACTACTGAGCGTTTGTAGCTTTTCTTCAGTTTACCGTTACAGTGTGGGCCATACACGTTTATACGTCTGTTTTAGGTCTACGTTTTAGACCTCAGTGATGTGTTTAGTGCCTCTGAGTAATTTTATCTGGCTCAAAGTCAACCATAAAGCTTGGAACACCTATGTTCTCTAAGCTTGTCTGAGCAGTAGAACAATACAAATTAACTTAAAAGTAAAAATATGAAAATCACATGTAATAAAAAAAGTCACGTGAGTACTGTTAGTACGGTTGTTAATTTAAGGTACAACGGCACAAAATGTCCTCACTTTAGACCAGTCAGAGCAACTAAAGATTGTGAAGTGCTATTTTAACAATAAAGCTCAAAAGTGAGAACTGTATGCAACAGCGAAGCAGAACGGAATCAAAATAAGCACAAAAAAGTACTAGCAACTAAATTCATAGAACTGAGGAATAAGCAATTTCTCACAAATATGCTTGAGTAGAAGTATTACAACATTATTATTAATGAAAAATAGTCAGAAAAGCACAAATCCTTTAAAATGTGTACTTTAATAGTCAGAGTAAATGTTGTTACTTTAGGCATGTACTATATTTTAAGCTAAAGTAAGCTAAATGCTTAAGAAACTGATGATTGAATGCACAGAGCTGAGAGTTCATACAAGGTCCCAAATGTCCTTTCACTGAGTATTTTCTGCTAAGGCGCTAGAAATTAACCTTGACTGGCATTTATAGAGATGGCTGTGTGCTTTAACATGTTGTCAGTGTTATTCCTAATTATTAGCTACCAGGAAACAGCGTATTTTATGAGTTATAAATGTCAAATTCAGGCCTGTTGTCAACAACAGAGCAGTCTATTGGACAGATGAATAAATAAATAAATGTACTTATACTTTGATAGCTTATAAACTTAACCATGAACACACTGGCCTCTGCCTTTATTGCTTTTTCATTGTCCCTATTATCTCCTAACTTCACCTTTGACCCCGGTTTCCTTAGGAGAAGGAAGTGGTGACCCCAGAGGCCACATGGGCGAGTGAGCAACACTCCCCAAACTGCACGTCAGACTATGAAAACTTCCACAGCTAAACGTTCATGGAGGTCACCACAGGCTCCTGGTAGAAGTTCTTCAGGGCTGATGGTAACAGTTCACCTCTTTCACAACCAAGTCTTAAACTACTTTAGACAGAGGCACAAAACTGGTCTGAGGTCAGGAGAGGGCAGACTGGAAGAGGCAAGGCAGCAGACATGTCAGAAACAGCATCAAAGTGAGTGGGAGAGGGGAGTCGGAGACGCAGTTAAAATGGCAGCCAGAAATGTCTCGCACAGGCAAGTCACCAGGCCGATACGTGTAACAAAGTATGGGTCAGTTTTGTACCAAACAGTGCAAAATTACTTAAACTAAAGAACTCAGATTCTTTTCATTTTTTAAATAAAGACTTGTGTTGGACTGGGGAAAAAATGGACAGTATAGAATAAATTATGCTTGAGCTGCTCAGTTTTTGGGGAATTTTTATATTATCGATAAATATATTCAGAAATAACTTGAAAAGTGTCTTTATAATTTTCTGAGAACTTTAGGTGACAAAAAGTGTTCTTTGCTATGATGACATAGAAGAACCACTTTGGATTCCCTAAAGAATCTTTCAGTCATTTTAAAACTTAAATAACCTCCACACAATATGAAGGCTCTTTACCAGTTACAGGACCTGAATCCTACATTTTTCTTGCGTTATCTTTTTCCACATGCAAATGAGCTCTGTTCTGATTGGCTGCCCTGTATCGTGCCTCATTCAAAAAGCAGTCTGAGCTGAAATATTCACTTCAGGGTGAATAGGTGGGGCTTAACTGCTGTACTGCTGTAGACTGAATAGCCAGAATAGCCAAACAAACAAATAATATATATATATATATATATATATATATATATATATATATATATGTATTATTTGTTTGTTTGTTTTAAAACAAAACTGGTTTTGCAGCTTAGTTTCCATTTATGCACTGTATAGACTGTGGAGTCAATGGTACACTCTGAAACTTTAACAATGTTTACATACTCCAACAATCTCTTTTATTTGAACTTTTATTATTTAAAGCAAGAGAATCAGTTTAAATGTTTTTCCTACTGTTGACAAATCATGATTTCTTCAGTGTCCTTCACTGAAATCAGTCCTCAGTCGTTGATTGTTACAGCTGATGTTAGGCTTTTTTACGATTGTTCCCCAAAGTGTTGCTGGCTTTCTGAGACATGCGTAACTTCAGGTCTCTGGGTTTAACCTGAGGGATTGAAATAGACTGATGCAAATTAATTTGTTGAAAGAACATGGGCCTCTCATGAATGGATGCCTGTGTGCATGAGAGAGACAGAAAGAGAAGGAGGGTCAGAGAGAGAGAGAGAGAGAAAGAGAGAACGTGTGTGCAGCATGCTTATGTGCAAACTCAGTGTGAAGCCTCTCTTAAACACACAGAGCGAGTGAGTTTTTAGGAGTGGGTCAGTGTGTTCAGGTCTTAGAGTGGAGTCATCCTAAAACGTTTCACAAGTAGCTCCATCAATTCACCCCAACAACTACAATAGTTTTTCACAGCAGCTACTTTGTAAGAAGAGTTAAAGCTAAGGTTATGCGAGGCCTTTT